CGCTACAGCAGAAAGGCAGCGGGAGATTAGAGAAATCAATGAATGGCTGAAGTCTTGGTGCAGGAAAGAGGGTTTTGGGTTTTCAGAGCACTGGGCCCATTTTGCGCTTTGGTACAACCTGTATAACCATGATGGATTGCACCTAAACAGAAGAGGATCTGCTGTGCTGGGGGATAGGATGGCTAGAAGGTTGGAGATTTTAAACAAGTGATGGGGGAGGGACATAGAAATCTACAAAATGGAGATGACCGAAAGGAGATGGGCTTTAGCTGAGCATAAGCGGGGTGAAGATGATGGGAGGGGCAAGACTAGAACAGGGGAGGTATACAACAGTAATAGAAATTTGCACAAAGTGACTCATGATAATATTAAATACAAGGAGCCTACATAACAAAATGGGGGAACTAGAGGCAATAGCATACACTAAACAATATGACATAATAGGCATAACAGAAACATGGTGGAATGAGACACATGACTGGGCAGTTAACTTAAAGGACCACTCTAGGCTTAATGAAGTGGTCTGGTTGCCAGGTCCCTCAAGGATTAACCCTTCAGAGAAATTACTATGTTTATAAATGGGTTAATCCAGCCTCTAAAGCCTCTAGTGGCTGTCTCATTGACAGCCGCTAGAGGCGTTTGCGTGCTTCTCACTGTGAAAATCACAGTGAGAAGACGCCAGCGTCCATAGGAAGAGACTGGCTATGAGACTGGCTGAATGCGCGCGCAGCTCCTGCCGCGCATGCGCTTTGAGCCGAAGAGGAGGATCAGAGGCGGAGAGGAGGAGGAGAGCTCCCTGCCCGGCGCTGGAAAAAAGGTAAGTTTAACCCCTTCCCTTGCCATCCAGCCCGGCGGGAGTGGGACCCTGAGGGTGGGGGCACCCTCTGGGCACTGTAGTCGTCCTTTAAGTGGGTACACATTATTTAGGAAGGGTGGTGGGGTTTGTATGTCAACCATAAGTTAAAGTCAAATCTTAGGCATGTGGAAGCTTTATGGGTAGATATCTGCTTGGGGCAAACAAAGGAAAATCAATTATTGGTTGGGATATGTTATTAACCATCTAATGTAAATATTAATGAGGAAGAACAGCTGTTAGAGCAAATTGGGAAAGCTGCAAATCGGGGTAACACTTTAATTATTGGAGATTTTAATTACCCTGACATAAATTGGGATAGAGTGACTAGTACTTCAGCAAGGGGAATCAGGTTTTTTAATGTGTTAAATGACACCATTATATCACAACTGGTACAAGCAACAACTAGAAAGGATGCTTGTCGGGATCTCGTTATAACAAACAATGTTGATCTTTTGACCAACATTCAAGCTATGGGAGCGTTTGGAAAATAGTGATCACAATATGGTAATTTTTGAAATAAACTCAAAAAAGCAAAAGCACGTGGGGTATACTAAAATGAATCATTTCAAAAAGGCCAATTTCAATGAGATTAGGGCAACTATACAACATATTGACTGGTATAAATTCCTTAGTAAAAAAAAAAAAAAAACAGAGGATAAATGGAATATCTTAAAACAAATATTGGAACGGTACATTTCTTAGTATGTACCATTGGGTAATAAATATAAAAGAAACACAAAATGGAGCAATAAAGTAAACAGAGTGCAGGTCAGGAGTCTGGCTACAAGTCAAGGGCTCAAGAGCAGCACCACTGTAACCACCTAATAGGGAGCTCCAATAGGGAGCTCCAAAATATGTAAGTAATAGGAGTAGGCGATGTGTAGAGTCCCACAAAGGGAAACCAACACCAGGAGAGCTCCACTGTATAAGAAATGAGGAAGGGAGGCCCTACCTTTAATCAATCTAAGTATAAAAAGGAATATGCAAACAAAAAGTATAATTTGAAAAAAAGAGAGATCTACTAAACGGTACCAGATTGATTAAAGGTAGGGCCTCCCTTCCTCATTTCTTATACAGTGGAGCTCTCCTGATGTTGGTTTCCCCTCGTGGGACTCTACACATCACCTACTCCTATTACCTAAATATAAAAGAAACAACTTGAAACTATGTGGCTTAGTAGGGAAGTCAAACAAGAGATTAAAAATAAGAAAAGGGCATTTTAAAGCATTTAATTGGACAAATCAAAGGCATCTTGTATAAGATATAAGGAAGCCAATAATGCTTCTAAAAAGGCAAATCAAAAGTGGCTAAACTCGAAAATAAGAAATTGATTGCCAAAGCCAGCAAAACCAAACCAGGCAGAAATTTTAAATAACTATTTATTTTTCTTCTGAATATATTAATGAGGATCCTATGGAAAGAGATATGCAAATGATTGCTGCAGAAAACTTGTGATTGGATGACTCAAGACAAGGTGCTACAGCAAAAAAACAGGGCGCAAGAGCATACTGAGAACGGGCAGCAGCTGAAATATCCTGCCCTTTGGTGGGTCCCTGCTTAGATATCAAGCAGATATCAAGTAATGGCATCTTGTGCCATTACAGAGAGAACATCTCTGAAACCTATCAGACTGGTCCCACCCATACGGGCAGTCTAATTCCGAAATGCCAGCAAGTTCCCTATGCATGAGAGATACAGCAACCCCAGACAATCGTTTCAGCCTTGCTAAGAATTATCAGTGAGGCATAGCTGATATCTCTCTAGGCACTGTGAGCAAGGGGTCCACATCTGGATTACTCTTTAAACTTATGGAGAGAAATGTTTAGCTAGCTGGGGTGGGTGGAAGTTAGTGGGAAATGGGGGATTTGGTGTTAGGCTAACTAGGGGTTAACATTAAAAAAAGTTTTAAAATAAACTTTAAAAAGTTAAAAATTAAGCTAAAAAAAAAGTTGTAATAACGTTTAAGTAAAAAATACCCCCCCCTTTACCCAGCCCAAATTATAAATTAACCCCTTCCCTGCCAGTCGATCACTGCCTACAGTGATCAAAATACAGATCACAGTATTATACTGTGATCTAATTTTTTTTTTAACCCCTGAGGATTAACTTTTATTTATTTTTTAAGCCTCGGGGGATCAATTTAATTAATTGAAATATTTTATAATTATATATTTTGCTAGCTGGGGTGGGTGGGAGTTATGAGAAAATGGGGAATTTACTGTTAGTGCTGCTTACTGCTAGTTAGAGGTTAACGGTAAAAAAAAAAAAAGCTTAGAAAAATGTTAAATCTGTAAAAAATTCAAAGTTCGGTAAAAACTGATATGGCTTGGTCTCCTATATGGCACTGTAGCTTCACGAAATAGTGCCAAAGACATTCATTGGGGGTGTCTTTTTACTCAGAAGACTTAACCGAGCATAATTTGGGGGGTTTGAACTTAGTGGCACATGTGAAATATACAAAATGCGCAGCAAAAATGCAATCCATGTGTAAAAAATGCACAAAATAATTTTTTACCACATACTTTAGCATATATTGGTGAAAAAATGGGGGCACGTTAAGGCACAATATGCACCTTTATGAGATACCCTGGAGTGTCCACTTTTACAAATGGTAGGCCTTTGTGGGTTTTTTTTGAACAGTCAAACTGTTATAATACCCCTAATGGAAGCATAGGCTCATTAAATCGGTCTCTCAAAATTCTACTGTGAATACTGAAAAGAACAGGCCTCCTATATGGCACTGTAACTTCACGAAATAGTGCCAAAGACATACAATGGTGCCATTTTACTCAGCAGATGTAACTGAACACAAAATAAAACTTTGTACAGGAATAGCACACACCAACTTTACAAAATACACATAAGAATTTCTGTTATAAGTTTGTGTGCCAAAAACCAAAAAAAACCACAATTTTACTCCAATATTTAGCAGGGGTTGGCGGTGAAATGGCTACGTAGAAAGTGTCGAAACAACCCTAGGTAAATAGCCTGTGATGTCTACTTTATATAAATATATACTTTTGTGTGGCAGTTTTCTTTTATGGCTATTAAGCTTAAAAGACAAACATACCAAATTTTAAAATCGTTCCACATTAAAAGTTTATTGTGCTTAGTGACCTGTAACTACCAAAAACTTAAAATCCCAGACACATTATATATTCTGTAAATCAGAACAACTAAATGAATTTATTTTTAATTACTTTCCTTAACCTGCACTAATTATGCACACATTATTATTGCAAAAACTGTGAAAAAAAACACATTCTTTTTTTTTTTTGCATTTTTCTGTATTTTTTATAATAAATAAGCATTTATATATATATCTTACATCAAATTAAAGCCCTTTCTGTCCTTTAAAAAACGATATATAATATGTCGGTGCAATAAATTAGTAAAATGCAAATTGCAGTTGAATGCAAACAACAAAAAATGAAAAAAATGCTGTTGTCATTAAGTGAAAGACAAGCTTCTGAAGCTCTGTCCTTAAGGGGTTAAAGGATAATATTCAGGAATTTATTGGGAAGCACTTTGTTATTAGCAATAATCAGCATGGTTTTATGAAACATAGGTCATGTCAAACTAACCTAAATGCATTCTATGAAGAAGCAAGTGGAAGTATAGATCAGTGTGTTGCAGTGGATGTGATCTACTTGGATTTTGCCAAGGCATTTGATACGGTTCCTCACAATAGGTTAGTCTTCAAACTAAAAGAAATTGGTCTAGATTAATATTCTTGTTCTTGTGTAGAACATTGGCTTAAGCATAGAGTACAACAAGTGGTCATTAATGTAAATTTCTAAACTGGACAAAAGTGGTAAGTGGTGTCAGTCAGGTTTTTGTTTTGGGACCACTTCTATTTAACATTTATAAATTATGCACTTCGGGGTCAAGAATGCACAAGCAACTTATACTTGAAATGGTAGTGAATTGGGGATTACCACACATAAGAAAGATTTGAGAATTGTTATCCAGGGGGCGTGGCTTGGATGCCGACCGAGATTGGCCGTGTAAGCTGCGAGCTCCGCTCCACTGGTCCCTACACCGCCCTAATAAATAGCTCTCACCAGTGCTAATGGGTCGGAGCCGAAGGGGTGAACCTTCAGGGACCCCCAGGGGATCCCAATCGCAGCACTCAGTGGGCCCGATGGACGATTATATTCAGACGCCGGCAGACACACGCGGCGAGGCCAGAGGCTCCAAAATGGCGTCCGCTTTCTCCGCACCCGGAGCCCCCTCTGCCTCCACGCTGGATGGCATCGGGGAAGAAATCCGCACTATTGCGGCCTCCATGGCCACCAAGGCTGACCTACTGGTACTTACCACCACTATACAGGATGCCCTGCGGGCTGAAATGGCCGGAATCCGGACAGAGGTGGCAGCGCAGGGTGCCCGAGTTCTTGACCTGGAGCGCTCCCACGAGGCCCAACATGCCAGACTGACTTCGACCGACACGGCCGTTGCTAGGCAAGGGGACATGCTCCTACAGCTCAGGAGAACGGTGGAGGACCTCGACAACCGCGGGCGCTGCTGCAACATCCGCGTACGCGGTATGCCAGAAGCAGAAGGCGATGAAAACATTGAAACAGAGCTGACAGCCCTTTTCCGCCTGATTTTGCCCGGTGACACCCCAATGGAGATCAGGTATGACAGGGCACATAGGGCGCTCAGACCTCGCTCCCTAGAGGAGGGCCCAAGGGACATAATATGCTGCCTGCATTCATTTGCTGTGAAAGATGCCATTATGAAGGCGGCCAGATCCCACCCCACATGGGAATACAAAGAGGCACATATATCATTATTTAATGACCTATCCCCAGTTACTCTCGAAGCTAGGAGAGCGCTGCGGCCCATCACGACGCTCCTTAGGGATCACAACATTACCTACAAATGGGGCTTTCCGTTCGCCCTTCTGGCGAGACACCAGAACGGCTGGGTGTCAATTCGCTGGCTGGAAGAGGTCCCCAGGTTCCTGGAGGACTTGGGCCTACCGCCTGTACCTGTACCTGATTGGGTCCTGGGCCCGCTAGACGTTGGCCCGAGACCGCAACGCGCACCTCGCCGACGCAGGGGAAGGTCCCCACAGGGCCCGCCTCGCCGCCGTCAAGACGCAGGAGAGGCTCAAGAGTGACAACCGCCGCCTAGACGGCACTGATCTGCCCGGTTGCTGATACCCTGTCTGCCCCCGGGGACCCCACATCCATAACGGAAAAAAAAAAAAAGAAGCCATCTGATCCGAGCTAAAGGGCTCAGCTGATACGCATACAACGGTCCTGATATCATCACGAGATTGGAAAGTGCTGAGCACTGTCAACCTGGACCTTGGGGACACTGCAAGAGTAGGGACTGACCCAACCTCGCACTATGCACAATCATAACTCCACCTGAATGGAATAGCGACTCCCCGGGATTGGATGCACACCTGGCAACGAGACAACTTAGACTGACCTCCCTTTTGTGCACTTATAATAACGACCCTGTTACACCCCTTTTTTTGCCCCCCGGTCTCATGACCCTCCAGGAGCGTTCTCAGGGGCCCGTGGGTGTGACCTTGGGGTGGTGGGGTGATTAGGGGGGAGTTCTGGGCATATTTTGTTCCTGCGCTGACACGACCACGGCTGCTTTATCTTGGCTACACATGGATTAGTGCCGTGAGTGGAATTGCCTCTGACATCACCAACATGCCCGAAATAAACAGCGAACTCGGAAACTGGACCCAGAACTGTCCGCACCTGCTAAGTATCTTTACTTGAAGTTATGCCGCTTAATTGCTTTTTCTCCTTTGTTATTTATTATGCTAAATATTGCTGATATTCCGGCTGTATCTCCTGAATAGGTAGATTGTACCAGAGGGACAGATGGGTATGCGAGTAGTTACCGGGGACATGAGGGCTAGAGGGGCCAGCCAATTGGAACACCTCCATGGGAACTTTAGGGAGTTAGCTACTTTCAGTCGGCACCATGGGGAAGGCGCCCTGGGATTTCCCATACCTCACCCCGAACACAGCGCACAACATGAGGGTCAGGGACACTATGGCTAGGTATCCTCATTAATCCGGAACTAGGTATCCGGGCAGACTTGGAATCGTTATATTTCTCATGACACATCTCGGAAGGTGGGAGGGGGACACAACTGCTATGGGGGGTTTGCCCCAGGGCGGAGGGGGTGGATAGACTTCCTGGTGGGGAGTGCTTTGGGGGACGGTGGATAAATGTAATTGCCGGTTGTTGTTGATACTCATACTGTTACTATTTACAACCATGACGTTTAACCTGCTATATTTCTGTTTGATCCCCTGAATGTTTGCTCCTCCCACGACTATACACACTTGGGCTTGAATATACCGGAACGCCGCTCTCAGCTACTAAGAATTCTGTGACAGAAACACATATCGATAGCGATGCTACAAGAAACCCACTTCCGGGAGAACGCCGCTCCAAAACTCCGATGCGCTCATCACCCATTGCACTACTGCAACAATCATCCGACTGCCCGTCGGGCGGGGGTTGCGATACTGCTTGCTGCAGACCTAGATTTCCAGGAACTGGATAGATTGGCTGACGATCAAGGGCGCTTCCTTTTCCTGAAAGGAACGATAGCCGACAGAATGTACACTCTCGCGACCATATACGTCCCCAATTCGAAGCAAGCACAATTCCTTCGTGGGACGCTAAACAAACTGCATGGATTCTCGGAGGGAGCACTGATAGTGGGGGGGAACTTTAATGCCCCCTTAGACCCTATCATGGACTCATCCACTGGCCATAGCTGCCTCTCACAATATCGCATTAGGTCCATTCGCAAAACGCTAGGTGAGCTAGCATTGGTGGACTGCTGGAGGACGCTTCACCCCTCTATCAAGGACTACACACATTACTCGGTGATCCACAAAGGCTATTCCCGCATAGATTACGTGTTCATCAAGCAAGAGGGGCTCTCCCGTTTGCGCACAGCCTCTATAGAACCGGCCACTTGGTCGGACCACGGCTCAGTTCGGGTCGAATTGGAATCCCCGTTGTTTAAGCCCGCAACATGGACGTGGTGCTTGAATGAATCCCTGCTCCAGGACCCTGGGGTAAGAGGGGAGGTCTCGCAGGCACTGGAAAACTACTTTGCTGAGAATGGAACAGATGAGATATCCCCGGTGTCGGTGTGGGAAGCCCATAAGAGTGTTATCCGTGGTACCCTCATCGGCATCGCATCTCGCAAAAGAAAGGAATCCACCCGGGCGATGACAGACGCGTATAAATCCATCGCACGCCTGGAATCCCAACACAAACGTTCCCAACTAACTTCAACATATGGTGAACTGATGGAAGCTAGACGAACTTTGCAGGCCCTACTCACGCAAAGACACCACCGCTCGCTCCAAAGATCGAGGTCCTTCTTTTACACACATGCAAACAAAGGTGGGAAATTCCTCGCCCGCCTCTTGAAAGGAGACACACCACGCACTCAAGTGAGAAAACTTCGCTTATCAACGGGCAGTATATCACCTTACCCTGAAGAAATAGCAGGTGAATTCCGGGAATATTACAACTCCCTCTATAACCTCTGCCCACCGGAGGACACAGCACATAGACGGGAATCATCATTACTCATACAAACATACCTGCAAGACAATGTGCGGAAACGGATGAACCCTGAGGCGGCAGATATGCTTGACGAATCGATTAGCACGGAGGACTTAGCCACAGCGTTGAAGGGCACAAAAACTGGACGAGCTCCTGGACCGGACGGGTTCTCCACAGGGTACTATAAACACTTTGCTACGACACTCCTACCATGGCTAACGAAAGCTGTCAACAAAGTCGCGGAGGGGGGACACTTTGGCACGGAGTCCCTGACGGCAACAATCGCGGTCTTGCTCAAACCCGGGAAGGACCCGGAACAATGTGGCAGTTATCGCCCGATCTCTCTGCTGAATGTGGACACGAAACTCCTGACGAAAGTATTGGCAACTAGACTTCAGAGGACGTTGCCAAGCCTTGTTCACGCAGATCAGACTGGTTTTATCCCAGGTCGAGAGGCACGAGACAGCACGTTACGCCTATTTTCTATACAACATCATGCACGGAAGTTTCGGAAACAACTCCTACTATTGTCCACAGACGCCGAAAAGGCATTCGACCGGGTCAACTGGGAATACATGTTCCAAACCCTCCGGTTTATGGGTTTTGGCCAGAGAACCATGGCGTGGATTACTGCCCTATACAGCACACCGAGGGCGGTGGTACGCGTCAATGGAGCGCTGACCACGAGTTTTGGAATTGCGAATGGAACCAGGCAGGGTTGCCCCCTATCTCCGCTCCTTTTCGCACTCTCTCTGGAGCCGCTTCTACAAGCGATCCGGGACCGTCAGGACATACACGGTTACACCTGGCAGGACACGGAACATAAGGTGGCTGCTTATGCGGACAACCTTTTGTTCTTTGTTTCCCAGCCTCGGATCACACTGCCATGTATACTCTCTGAGATGGATAGATTCGGCCGAATCTCTGGGTTTAAACTCAATCTGGCAAAATGTGAAGCACTAAATCTCACCGTACCCACGGCGGATTACGTATCCCTCGACCCACTCTTCCCATTTCGATGGTGTACGGGAGCAATGAAATACCTCGGCATATGGATCACCACAAACCCACAGGACATATACCAACGCAACTTCACGACCCTACTGCACGGCATTGAATCTGACTTGAAAAGATGGTCCTATCCACATATCACATGGCACGGCCGGATAGCGGTCCTTAAAATAAACGTTCTCCCAAGAGCTCTATACCTATTCCAGACTATACCGATGGCACCGCCGGCAAAATTCTTCTCGACTCTGAAATCAGAGGTCATCAGGTATGTATGGAGGGGAGAAAGATTCAGGATATGCCATGAAATACTATGCATGCCCAGACATAGGGGGTTTTAGCCCTGCCCGATTTAAAAAAATACCACCAAGCAGCGACGTTGCAACGGATTTTGGAGTGGCACGAATTAGAGACGACCAAACAATGGGTGATCTTGGACCGAGAAGGAGATAGTGCAAAACTGAAGGCGGCAATCTGGAAAAGACGGGCAACGAGAGGCAACAGAAGAAGAGACAATGACCCAGTTACACAAACACTCCTCACATGGGAACAACTCAGGGAAACACCGCAAATCTCCCCGACCCCCTGCCCATTGCTGCCAATTGCTCATAACCCCGGTATAGGAGGCGGTCTACCGCCAGACGCCTGGTCTTTCTTGGGTGAAGCAGAATACATCCCAATACATAAGGTCATTCGGGATGGCGCCCTGTAAACTCTGGACGCGCTACTGGAATCACGACCGCGCTCACACATGGCAGTTTTTCGATACATGCAACTGAAACATTACTTCAACTCACTCCCGCACAAAGAAAAGCTACGAAGAGACCTCACATGGTACGAACAACTCTGCTCCAATGGCACGTCATTAGGGAAAGCTATCTCGAATCTCTACCAATACATACTGACCAGCCCCCCCTCAGAAAACAACCTCTTCAAACGACACTGGGAACGAGCCATGGCTAAACCCTTTACACCAGCACAATGGGACAAGGCCTTGATATGGCAGCACAAAAGCTCCTCCAGCTCTCACTATCAAGAGGTGAACTACAAACTGCTTTCCATGTGGTATCGAACACCCGTACTATTACATAGGATTTTCCCCACTACGCCACCAACGTGTTGGAGATGCCAGGAGGAAAGGGGGAACATGCACCACATATGGTGGGAATGTAAACACATTGTCCCATACTGGGACCGGATCAAATCAGACATTCAACTAATCCTGGGAGATGACCTTGAATGGTCGGAGGAACTAGCCTTGCTACACATATCCACACGACCACTATCCACATACAAAAAAATCTATCATGTGTCACCTACTGAATGCGGCCAAATCGCTTATACCGGTATACTGGAAGAAACCAGACATCCCGACAAGGGAGGAATGGATTCACCGAGTTGAGGATATCAGGGCAGCGGAAGCTCTGAAGGCAGAGATGACGGGCAGGGAAGCTCAACACGCTGAAGCATGGGCACCGTGGTATACCTACCGCGCACAGCCGTAGGGGGATCCGGGGGGGGGTCTAGGGCAGGGAGACGATACGGGGCTCACTACACTCGTGTGACATGAATCACACTTTGTACCGACCATCTGACGACCGCAGACTCAGTCGGCACACCTGACACTCCATCCACAACGTTTGGGGGATAAACACATCTCCGCCGCTCCAATAAGAACACGAGGTCCCAACCAACACGACAGATAGCCCTGACCCACAGTAACTCCCTAGGTCAAGGGGGGACATTTTAGAGCTTTGCCCATATCTCCACAGAACCACAAGGAGGGGTATGTCGAGCACATCTGGACATGACACGCATACCACCTCTGTAAGACAACGCTGACGGTCGGACCAACGGACGTGTGCAGCAGCCCCGAGACATCGCAACACACACATACACCGCGACACTTTACCCCTCCTGATGAACCCTGGAAAACACATGCTCCGCGCCCACACAGACCCAAGCAAGGGCCCTCACGGTTGACCTCACTTTGACATACTGCAGTATGACAACATGATAACTAACAAGAACCTCAACTAGGTTGTTAGCTACCGCACCCAACTCGGATGGGTTCAAACCCACGGGAAGAGGACGCAAACCTCGCACAACCGACCAAACCTGCCCACTTCAATAGAAACATCTCGATTGTCCTATGGACGGGGTCACCGCCTGTTGTAAATGGATTAAAGGGGGGTATACCGACTACACTAAGCCCTGGGTACATACGGATCTCTTCCCACTACTCTCCATGTCCCTACACTGTGGATTTCGTATCAGACAGACATCACACACTCCTACACATGACCACTAGTTAGAACACCATCCTTCACACCGAAACACACAACATACACTCACCGACAACTACTCTGGATTCATTCCAATCAAGGAACCGCATCCTTAGAGTACCTATGAACACTACCATGCCCATGTAGCTCTAGCTTTAACTGGAAGCCCCTAGCTCCAGGATATACTGAGACGACAATATTTTGCAATCCACGCTTTAGAAAATAAACACAATTGTACCCTGTCATTGGTTGTGTATTGGAACAGGGAACATCCCTGAATATGTACATGTATATGTTATACTTCAAAATTGCTACCTTCACTGTTTGATTGATGTGGGCCTGCGAGCCCTACATTTATTGTACCCAATTGCTAATAAAAATCTGATTAACAAAAAAAAAAAAAGAGAATTGTTATAGACAACAAATTATGTAGCAATATGCCATGTCAATCTGCAGTTTTGTCATGTATAAATAGGGCATACATTCTCGGGTTGAAAGTACAATTTTTCCTCTTTATAAATGACTGGTAAGACCACACCTTGAATATGCTGTGCAATTTTGGGCACCTGTTCTAAAGAAGGATATCATGGCACTAGAGAAAGTGCAGAGATGAGCTACAAAATTGATAAAAGGAATGGAGCATTTTAGTTACGAAGAAAGGTTTAAAAAATTAAATCTCTTTAGTTTGGAAAAATGACGCCTCAGAGGGGATATGATAACATTATATAAATATATTCGGGGCCAGCACAAACCATTATCTGGAAATCTATTCATAAACAGGACTATACATAGGACACAACGTCACGCATTAGGCAGGAAGAAAGGAGATTTGATATAGAGCAAAGAAAAGTGGTGTGTTTTTATTTTTTTTACAGTAAGAACTATACGGATGTTGGATTCTGTCTGAAGAGGTGGTTTTATCAGTCCATACAGATGTTTAAACTGCAATTGAATAAATACTTGCAAAAACATAACATACAGGGATATAATTTCTAATTAGTGAGGTAATAGCTACTTGATCCAAGGAGACATCTGACTGCCACTTTGGGGTCAAGAAGGAATATTTTCCTAGTTTGTTACAAAATTGGAAGCACTTGGAAGTTTTTTTTTTTCGCCTTCTTTTGGATCAACAGCAAAAACCTATGAGGAAGGCTGAACCTTGATGGATGCAAATGTAACTATGTAATGATTTACCTTATTGTTCTGGTATCAAGTGAAATATTGCAAAAAAGGATTACACCTGGTAGAATGGTCTGGGGACTGAAGAGACATTAAACTGGCAATTAAGATACTTGCTGTACCCATTGTCTATATTAGAGAATATGAACATAAGAGAGTAAACATTTAATTACAGAAATTAAATTATGATGTTCCTCCTGACACACTTACAACAGGGGAAACTGTGGGAAATTCTGGTCCTCAACCCATCAAGAACCAAGAGCATGCCATCCCTGACATACATTAAATGGATTGGCAAACATAGGGGGATAAATATCAAGAGATTTAATTGCAGAATACTGAATATAACAAATATAATTTTCTCTCAATTAAACAGTTTACACTTTAGGAAAATTCATTAAGTTCTAAAGGAATTTCTAAACCAACTTTCCACACTGAACCTAAAACCTGAATACAAATTTTAAGCCGAATCAGGAGTAGTGAATTTGCAGAGTAGAATCTTGTATAAATTGACAAACTAAAGCATACCAATGAAAGGTAAGCATGGTAATTCACTGTGCTCTCACATAAAACTCAGCGCTGCACTCTTAAAGATAGAAGACCTAAGGGGTGGCAACACCCATTAGGCCTGAAGTTTTTTTTGTATCTAAGCAAATAAATAGCCCAAGCTGTGCACATGAAATCAGCAAGATCTAGTAAGCTGTGCACCTGCAATAAGCAATACACACTAAGGTTAAACACTGCCATCAAAAGTAAAAACATTCATTGTCTTGATCAATGTCGAGACGGTACCTGACAATAGAAATACTCTGGTAGCAACTTCCTTCTCTCATGTATATGCATAGGTGTTGCTAATGAACATTACCATTTTGAAAATCAGATCTCCTTCTCCAGTGGGAGCGGTACCCAGACAGGTTCAGTAACACCTGCAGTCCATCTACAGTGGTTAATTGCTTATTCTGAACCACAAGTGTTGGTGGAGAACTCTAATGCGAAGGCAAAACACAGCATATAAGCAGATGAGTTTTTTGGTTTTTTTAATCTTAATTTAGAAAACTGGTGTAGAGAATCAACAGTATGCAATAGGTACTTATCCATTGCAACAGCACATTTGTTTTGGTGGAACTGTATTACTATTTGGTACAACTATATTATATATCAGCTCATACACAGGTCATGTATTAATTGTATATTCGTGGGGCATGGCTTAGCCAGCGATGTAGATGGCTGCCTTCTAACAGAGGTCCTGTGACACTAAGCAATTAAATGTGCTAATTTACCTTAATATATAATTTTAACAATAAAAAATGTATACTAAATAAACTACTGATCCAGTGAGGAGATGGAAAGAGAAGATTTTGAAAAGGACATGATGCAGAAAGCTAAACAGGTGAATCCAGGAGCAACTTACAGTAAATCACTAATGACGTCTATGACACCTGAAAAAAAGTTGACAGGCCGAAGCATATTAAAAATCACCAGTGACTAACCTACATTAACTGAAGAAAAATGACATCATCTTTAAGTAAGAAAACTATAAATCCCCCTTAAAAAAAAAAAAGGAAAAATATGATGTCTATTAATAAACCATCATCCCACAGAGATTTGACAGTTGGTGATGAGCTCGCAGATTTTGAATGCCCTAACGTAATAGAAATTAACATGAAAGCTAGTTCACAAATTAAATCCTATGATGAACATAGGGAAATTATCAATATAGCGAATGAAGCTTATTCGAAACAAAAATAAAAACAATGCAAACAAACATGACGCTATTACTTTACATTATTATTCTAATAGTAATATAATTAAAGGAACATACTACAAAAAAGTTCAGAGCACATTACTTTCTGAAGATATGGATACTCTTGAACAGAATTCTTCATCTATTGATTGGGATATAACTAACATGGATAAAAATATTCAACACTCACCTTGGGCCAATCTAAGCAAGAAACAGAAAATGTTTGCAGAACAGCATTGGATCTACCAGGATTTAAATCTTCATCCAACAAACTGCAAGGTCCTCCAGCATCGCCTGCTCTAATCTGGGAAATGTTACAATCTATTAGACCTCAGAGAAGATTTATGACAAGACTTTACTTTCAAAAAAAATAAAGTAATGATATTAGAGTCTAAGACAGAGCAAATTGAATCAACACTTCTGCAACACGCAGATATTCATTATGATTTAGTTGAATAGATGAAAGCATCAGAAAACCAAAAACTAATTGCTAAAGTAGCAGATTTAGAAGACCACAATAGAAGGAACAATATCAGAATAAGAGGTATACCTGCTAACATACAACATAATGAAAATGACTATATGAAGGCAATCATGAAATCGATTAAACCTTCATTTACAGATGCACAATTACAAATAGATTGTATTCATAGGCTACCAAAACCTATCGCGGCTCCTAAAAAAACTCAAAAGGATGTTATCACTAGAACTCACTTCATTAAAACAAGAGGAATTTCTATGGGCACTAAGATCCACAAGCTTTCCAAACAAATTTAAAAACATTAAAACTTTCTAAGACTTCTCTCCTATGACCATAAAAAGAAGAAATTAGTTTGGTCAGTTTTCAGCAGAATTACAAAAGAGGAACATCAAATATAGGTGAGGATTTCCTGTTAAAATACCTTTTCATTTGGATGGACAACA